GTGGAAAAAGCTCAGGGACAGCACCCAGACCTTGAGTTCAAGCCCAGTACTGACACAAAAATGGCAGGGCTGGGAACTTAAGCCATCCTGTTTCAAAGGACATCCATTTTCAAAACACAGCTTAGAGACCCAGCCAGATCTTGCTTCCTCTCCATACCACCACAAACACTGTCACCACAGGCCGGCACCTTGGCATGATCTCGCTCCAGACCGTAGCCATCAGGGCAGGACTGGAAGACTTCCAATGCAGAATGCCATTTTCCAGGATTCTGAGCCAACCCAAGTGTCTGGGTGTAGAAATAGCCCAGGAGGTAAGAAGGTATCTCAGTCACTGTCCCCAGGCAGCAAACCAGGCTCTAAGCACCGCCCCATCCTGGGCTGCAGATATGAAGAGGCCTATCTCCTGCACCAGCCCTCGCCTGGCTCCCAGTCTCTGGAAACCACAGACCTCTGAGCAGCACTCGGGAAATAGGGCCGTTCGCGGAAAATGTTGCCAAAGTTAAAGTGGGTACCAAAAGGACAGGGCCTCACTCTGCATCCCTCCAGGAATGATTGAACCACTCAGGCACAGGGTTAAAACTGAGGCAGAGAAATGTTGCACTTAAGAGAACAGAGCTGCATCAGAAAAGGAAAACCAACTTTAGGTCTCAGTCCCACCAAGATATGTATCTTGGGAAAATTACTAAGACTCTAGGACCATTTCCCATGGGATCAGGAAGTTGGGACAGGCCAACAACTCCATGGATTCCCAAAGCAGGACAAGTTCCTAAACTCTCTCTGCTAGCCCAGGTACTGGAAGTCCTGCTGCTTATCTGCCTATCTGTCCCCCTTTCAGCCGAAAATGCCCCTCAAATCCAGGAGAGGACACTCAAGGCAGCCACATACACATCAGTAGTGAGTTAACATGTGTCCACAATGCCTTGGAAACCTAACCTGAGGACTCTTCCAGCAGTTCTAGGGGGCCAGGGAAAGCTCAGGACCTCACATAATAGCAGTCCTAGGGGTCCAGGGAGAGCCCAGGACCTCACATAACAGGGCTCCAATGAGGATCAATCTCCCCACTCACACCACTGTCCCAGGAGCAGCAGGGCCTCCCTAGTTACCTTATACTCCAGGGCCACTTCTCAGGGAATGGGCCAAGGTCAGAGTGTTATCACTACAGCTGCACAATGTTACCTACCTAGCAAGGCCTCATAAGCAAAGTCATTGGGGGACCTTCCCAGGCCCATGGTAGGGAGTCTGAATGGGCACAGCCTGTTTCTCAAAGGTGCTATTGGGCTGGTGACAATGTACCCCCAAAGCTCAGTATGGGAAATTGAGCATCAGCTTTTGCATATGTCGCCCTAGCACTGGACAAAGCTGGACACACAGACAATGAAGGAATAAACTGGCTTAGACCAGACCCAGCTGAGAGGTAAGCCAAGGTAGAGCACAGCTGGACACAAAGAACACCCTTACTTGCCTGGTAGAATTCTCAGACCCGAGAAGGGCACAGTGGAGACAGTGTATTGGGTCTACCATGATGAAGAGCAACTTTCCTCTACAGAGAGTTTGGCTATCTCCCTTCCTTTCCATTCTAAGAACAAAAATATGCTTGTGGCCAGGTACTGATAACTGATGCCTACAATCCCAGCGACTCAGAAGGTTAGGATCTGAGGATCTTGGGTCAAAGCCAGTCTAGGTAGAAGGGTCCTGTGAGAATTTATCTCCAATTAACGAGCAAAAACCCAAAAGTGAAGGTGTGGCTCAAGTAGTAGAGTGCAAAAGCTAAGGGTGAGTGCAAGACCCTGAGTTCAAGTCCAGATATACACACAGAAAACATAGTGTGTGTAATGATCAGTGAGTCTCAAGGAAACGTGAGGAGGTCAGCATACTGCCAGGCAAGTAAGGAATAAAACATTAAACCTCACAAAATCCACCCTTTTCAACACAAGCAGGTCCACTCCACACAGCAGTGCTGTCCCTGGGGCAGTCTAAAACACGAATGCCTTCATGTCACAAGCTTAGATCTTGAAAAGCAGCAGCCTACCCCCTGGTCACAGTCTTCCAGGGACATTTCACATGCTGCTGCTCCCACCAAGTGCTCATCTAAGGAAAGCCAGAATGGACTGGGTTCCTTAAGGTTCTGATATATTCCAGAAGTCTCATATAGTTGCAGAAGCCAAACCCTCTGGCCAGATCCTTCTTCCAAAACCAGCAATCCAATGTTGCAAGCACAGCCACTGGGGGCCAGTTTGGTATGCAAGAGGAGCCTGCAGAACAGGAAAGGAGGCCGAGTGGACACTGACACTGGCCCAACTGGCCTCTCCACATGCTGCTGGGATGGCTTCCTGGCCTGTGTCATCCACCTCTAGAAAATCAGAGCCAGCTGCATTATTAGTCTCTTCTCCTAAAGGTGCCCTGGGCATGAATGCCATGGAGCCCTCACTAGAGAAGTTTACAAGCGTACTGACAGGCTCAGCTCAAAGAAACACTGCTGGGGTAATTCTGTCCATTCTCATTTTTCAGACACAGAAGCTCAAGAGACGGCCTGGGACTGGCACAAGGTCACCCAGAAAGAATCAGGGGCCATTTTCAAAGCTGTGGACTTCCTGTTCACCACAGTGTTCACACTATTGAGATTCTTGCAGCAATCTCCAACATTATCAGTCCAGTAAATCTGAATTTTTTTTTCCAGTCCTGGGGCTTGAACTCAGGGGCTAGGCACTGTCCTTGAGCTTCTTTTTTTATTGCTCAAGGCTAGCACTCTACCACTTGAGCCACAGTGCCACTTCTGGCTTTTTCTGTTGATGTGCTACTGAGCTCTGGGCTTCATGCATGCTAGGCAAGCACTCTACCACTAAGCCACATTCCCAGCCCCTGGATTTTATAGAACTGTTCTTAAACAAGCATATGTACAACAGCTTACGCAGATGTCCAATTTAACCCAACTGAGCGTCCTTTGCTAATCCACTAAACGCAACGCTGAAGAACCCTTGGAGATGCCCTCCAACCTCCTTGTTTTGGAGATGAGACTGAGGCCTCCAGGATGAAGGGATTTCCTCAAAGTACACAGCTGCAGCCCTACAGAACTATTGCCAACAGTCTAAATTCCTGTCTTTTCAGGGAGCAGGGTGACCCTGAACCCACAGCAGAGTGTAAAGAACAGGGAACAGACATAGATCTCATTCTTGCTGCTAATCACCAAGATGACTATCCAAACACACTCAGCAGGGAGGTCACTGAGCAACCAGCTCAGAGGCCTAGTCAGCTGGACACTGAGGTGTCATGATCCCACACCTCTGTCAAAATGTGCAACTTTGGAGGTCAGCGAACCAGGAGGACAAAAAGCCATCTACAGAGGATGAAAGCAAATCGTTCATTCTCCTATATCCACCCTGGGAGCCAGGAGCCCTGCAGAGGGGCACAGGGATGATCCACAGAGACCAACACAGAGAACATCCTCTCAGCCCAACAACACAGCAGTCCAACCAGACACAGAGTGCAGGACAAGGAGCCCTCCCTCCCGGAACTAAGTCACACAGGCCCCCTATTGTGTCAGCTTTAAAACTGAACTTTGCTGGGCAAACACACTCAGCTGTGTTCAAGAAGTCCACATGCAGAAAGGCCCCCCAAGAAAGGGGGAGAAGCTTTGTTGATCTATTTTTTAAGCAAAGGCCTGGTGGAGCCTTGTTGATTTGTTTTTTAAGCAAAGCCCCGGTCAGTCATTTGCTATAGTAACTGCAATAAAAAGCAATAACAGTCAGCACTGGCTGGATTCTTTCACTCTCTCTGGCTTTTGTAGATTTTTTTAAGAAAATAAAACCAAGGAGTCACCCTGAGCATTTTGGATCAAACCAAGGATTTGGACTCGCAGTGTGCAAGGAAAGAGGCCTGATATAATAATTACCGCCATCACTGGCTGGCTTTATGACAGCTGGCAAAGGCAATTAGCAATGGGGTGGAGGGGTGTGTGTGGACTGAGGATCTAATAAAACAAAACATCTCCAGTCTCACAGGGGCCCAGACGCAGCTAATGTAAGGCGATGAGAGGTTCTTCTTCAGGACAGTGCCGTTATTAGTTAATAACTAGTCCCCAAAATGTCAGAGGCCTCCCAATCCTTGGATGGAAAAAAAAAAAAGCAAGTTGGGAATGCACTAGTTCCCCTCCATTGGGTTCTGAGAACCCAACATCCATTCTGCCTGATTTTTCTAGATCCTTCTAATACTGCACTTCCCAGCTATAATTTGTGAGAGTAGGAGGGCCCCCTATCTTGTTTCTCCTTTACCCTCCAAGCTGTCTCCACCAGAGAACCCCTGAAGCAGTGTCTTCTTCCCACCAAAGGCTCCTTCCCCCAGCATAATCTTTCCCAAACCAAAACTACTCAATGGTTTGGGGAAAGTCAGTTGGTAATTACATTTTGTGGCACCGCGAAAGGAAAAGCACCCAATGCCTGAAGAGCAAAAAAAAAAAAAAAATGCAATTTCGGCACTTTCTTTTGGAAAAGCGGCATTGGAGACCTGGAGGAGAGAGAAAAGGACGAGGGACACGACGGAAAGCAGGGCGGCGTGTGAGAGGAAGCCTGCGCTTCTAACGCACTGACACCCCAGCCCAGGCTCCTGAGCTCCAGCCCTCGGGGAAAAAAGTCCAGCGCGTGACTCTGTGGGGCCAGAAGTCTCACGGACCCTGGCGATGAGACAGGGTGCGGGAGAGGGGAATAGGGCTGATGGGGGGGAAGGGGGGAGTGTTCGCGCGCAGCCCGCCCCGCCCCTCACAAGGGGGGGTCCCCAGGCCTTCCTGCCCCCCCTTCCCCAAATCCGGCCCAAGGTGAGAGAGCTAGTCTCGAGTCTCCCCCCCCCCCCCCGCGCACCGGCTAGCAGTGGAAAGGGCGACCGCTTCCAGGAAGGAGCCCCCCGGGCTCCAGGATGCGCCTCAGGAAGGAAAGCGCCGGGGGACGCGGGCAGGGGGGCTCCCCAGGCCCAGCGGGGTCCCGGGCCCAGGCGCGCGCGCGGCCCCTTACCTCCAGGGTCCGGATCTCCTGCTGGGTGAGGTCGTTGGACACGGCGCATTTGGTGCGCAACCCGCGCAGGCTGCCGATGGAGATGTCGATGAGCTTCTGGAGCTGGCCGCACTGCTGCAGCGCCCGGCCGGCCGCGGCGCCCCCGCCGCCGCCCTCCTTCTTCTCCCCCATCGCCGCCGCCGCCGCCGCCGCGCGCAGCGCCGCTCTATCCATGCCTCGGCATCGGGGCCGCAGGGGGCCGAGGCAGGGAGCCCGGGGGGACACGGGCGCCTCGGCAGGGAAGCCCCCCCCACACACGCACACACACACACACACCCTGCGCCGTGAAGGGGCTGGATGAAGTGGGCCCCTCGGCGGTGCCGAAGCAGGGATGCTCTCCCGAGCCGGCCGCCGAGTCCGCTGTTCCCGCCGCCCAGCCGCGGCGGCAAAGCGAAAGCCGCGGCGGACCCGACGGCTGCAGCTCCCCGAGCCTTTAAGCGGCTGCCGGGACCCGAGCGGTGCCGCGAGGCATGCTGGGACTTGTAGTCCGCGCCGCGCACCTGCCGCCTGGCCCGCGCCCTCGGGGCCCCGCCCGCGCGCTCCGCCTCGGTCCGGCTCCCGGGCACCTGCCCTATTGGGAGGGGCTGCCGGGCGCTGGCTCCTTCCCCCGGTACTGAAAGGCTGGGGTGCCTCCTCTCCCTCTTCCCATCTCCCCCACACCCTACACATACACACACGTCCCCGGCCTTCCCGCGACCCCCGGATGGGGCGGGGCACAGACCCGCGTTTCAGTGTCAGCCTAGCCCTGGAAAATGCGGATTGTGGCGGTTCCATGTATTTGTGGATTTAGGGGCTGCCATGTACTGGGAAGGGTCTGAAAGAATTTTTTCTAGCAAGATGCCGGGCTGGTGGCGTGGCTCAAATGGCAGAGCGCCAAGCAAGCAAGCTAAAAAAAAAAAAGCCTGAGTTCAAATTTTGACTCTACCACTATCTGGAGTGTTACCTTGGGCAAGTGGTGGTTCTCTGAAGGTGTGTTTCCCCTCGCATCCCACTCAAAGCTTGGTATAAGGAACGCGTTTATGTATCTGCAGCCCTAGATTGATTACTGGTGCACATAAGTCACTGGACCAATGTTAGCAAGTGTTCCTTTCTAAGCTCGGGTTCCCTAAATAAGGCCATGAACCCAAGCAGTCAGTGGGTATGGCAGCAATACTACAAGCCTGTATTTGTGCCTTCTAACCCAGCATTCAAGCCCACCCAAAGCATTATCTCCTCTCCCATCAGGCCACTTCGTGCATTCTGTTAACTGGCAAAGTTTAAAACCATGTGTCTGATCAAAAGTCTTCTTATAGACTTAAGACTATAGTCTTCTTACAGACTCTCTTATATGTCCAACATCTGCCAACCAGACGAAATTTCTCCCTACTGAATTTTCCTTTTGAGCTCATTGAATGTAAAATCACCAACTAAAGTTATCTGTGCATCCTTTCCATAGAATTGTCAGGCAGACAATAAGGGGTACACAAAGTTGTGCAGTGCATCTCATGTGCTCTTTTAGACAAGTCCTATCCAATGGCCTGGGCACAATGTGGGGAGGTTATGAAAAACTACATAGATTTTTTTTTTGCTTTTTGTTTTTTGTCTTTGGCACAGGGCATGGAATCCAAGCATTATTTTATTGTCCTGGGGCTTGAATTCAGGATCTGGGCACTGTCCTTGAGCCTCTTTGTGCTCATGGCTAGCACTCTACCATTTGAGTGCCACTTCCAGCTTTTTCTGAGTTGTTTATTAGAGATAAGAATCTCCTGGTGGGGCACAGATGGCTCACTCCTGTAAGTCTAGCTACACAGAAGGCTGAGATCTGAGGACCACGGTTCAAAGCCAGCCCAGGCAGGAAAGCCCGTGAAACTCATCTCCAATAAACCAACAGAAAACCCCAAATGGCGCTGTGGCTCAAGTGATAGAGCACTTGCCTTGAGCTGAAGAGCTGAGGGAAAGTGCCCAGGCCCAAAGTTCAAGCCCCACAACCAACAACAAAAAAAAAAAAAAAGAATCTCCTACCTGGGCCAGCTTGGAACTGCAATCCTCACATCTGAGCTTCCTGAGTATCTGGGATTACAGGTGTGAGCCACCAAAGCCCAGCTTATTCTTTTCTTTTTTACAAGTTATTTATGTTTAATGCTTAAAGGTCTGAATGCATAATCTTACCTCATAGAAGAACTGGTGGTCAATGCAATGCATTAAAACTATGTACAAAAAAAGGCAACTAACCATATGGCAGTGGCTCATGCCTGTAATCCTAGCTACTCAAGAGGCTGAGATCTGAGGATCCCGGTTCAAAGCCAGCCTAGGCAGGAAAGTTCATGAGACTCTTCTTTCCAATTAACCACCAGAAAACCAGAAGTGGCACTGTGGCCCAAGTGGTAGAGTGCTTGCCTTGAGCTGAAGAGCTCAAGGACAGCGCCCAGGCCAGGAGTTCAAGCCCCATGACCAAACAAAAAAACAGGAAGAAAGCAAGCAATGTTCACCCAGGACAGAGTACATTCTTTATGTCTCTGGGGGGAGGGGGGTCGATACAAACCTTCTTCTTCAAGCATTATATTCTTGCTTGAGTGTCAGACACTAAAACACTTAATACTGGATGGCAGTTTATATCACCCCCTTACTTGAGTGGGATATTAACTTTTTTGGTGGGGAAGGGGGCTTGAACTCAGGGCCTGGGGCTGTCCCTGAGCTCTTTCACTCAAGGCTAGCACTTTACCACTTTGAGGCATAACACCACTTATGGGGGGATTTTTTTTGTGTTTAATTGGAGATTAAAATCTCACAGGGCCTTTTCTGCCAGGGCTGACTTTGAACCGAGATCCTCACATCTTAAGCCTCCTGGGTAGTTAGGATTATCAGGGTGAGCCACCAGCACCCGGCCATAGTTTTGTGTTTTAGATGTATCAGAATCACCTGGTGGCTTGTTAATTCCTATTCCACAAGTCAGGGGATAGGCTCTGATAATTGGCATTTCTAGCAAGTTCCAAGGGGATGATAACTGATGTCCATGCTGCTATGATGGGGACAATGCTTTGAGGGGACCCATGTGCAGAAGAAGGTCAATGGGCCATAGACTTGTCTCAAGGGATCATTCATGGCTCTGTCTGGAGGGTTCAGACCTCCACTGTCCAGTAGCCAGAGCTGCCAGGCTTCAGCAATGGGCTCACACTAACTCCCAGCTTGCAAGAGATCTCTGGGCAAATGCCTATTTATGCTCTGGCTTTCTGCTGGGCCACATCATGCTTAACACTTGGTGTACAGCTCATTCTACCTTCTCATTTGTCCTCTTTCACAAGAATACAAACTTCCTATGGGTAAGGCTTTTGTGTGTGTGTCTGTCTGTCTGTCTATCTGTAGGTGTAGCCATTAACACAAAGCATATTGGGCCAACTTGATATAAGAAGCTACACCCTTTGGGGAAAATGCACTGCCATGTTGGTGGTCGTGGCTGGACTGAAGATTGGGCAAACTCCAGCGCCCAGGCTGTTCTCCCACCAGGCTCCATGTCGCCAGCTGCTTCCTGTTCTGTGAAGGTTCCTTTCTACCTGGACAGAACATTCAGTAGCCATGGTTTTCATGCCTGCTTAGCTCAGCTAGACTTGGTTTGCAAGGTCCAATGAGCCACACATTTCACAAAGCCACAGAGAACACAAGGGTCTGTAAGAAATCTCTCCTCTGTACTTTTAGTAGTCATTAAGTAACCACTCAGTGTCACTTAGATGGCAGGCCCAGTTCTGACCGGAAAGAAAACAGCAGTGGACAACCCAAAAATCCTTACCTTTGCCAGGCACTAATGTCTCATACCTATAATCCTAGCTACTCCGGAGGCTGAGATATGAAGATCCTGATTCAAAGCTAGTTTAGGTGGACAAACCTGAGCGACTCTTATCTCTCCAACTAACCTGCAAAAAGTCAGAACTGAAGGTGTGGCTCAAGCAAGTAATAGAGCACCAGCCTTGATTGAAAAAGCATAAATGATTATTTTTTTTTGTTGGTTGTGGGGGTCTGAACTCTGGGCCTGGGCACTGTCCCTCAGCCCTTCAGCTCAAGGCTAGCGCTCTACCACTTGAGCCACAGCACCACTTCTAGCTTTTTTTGCTTATGTGGTGCTGAGGAATTGAACCCAGGGCCTCATGCATGCAAGGCAAGCACTCTACCACTGAGCCACCTTCCCAGCTCAATATACAAGATCTTGAGGCTCTGAATTCAACCCCCCCACCCCCCCTCTCTTTCTCTCTCTCTCTCCTTGCTGAGTTGCTGTGTAACATTGAACAGGTCATAAGTGCTCAGCTAATCTCTGGTGTGGCTCCTCATCCACAAGATAGAAACATGTTGTGAGGATAAACAGAGAATTATGCAAAATGGTGATCATAAAATAAGGGCACAACAATCATAAAATAAGGGCACAACATATTTATTTGGTAATTACTACTAAGCAGTTTCTTTGGGCTGTTCCAAATGCCTGATTCACTCTTTTATTTTATTTTTGTTCCCATATTAGGGATTGAACTAAGGCCTAGCACTTTCCCTTATTTTTTTTTTTTCACAAGCCTGGCACTTTATCACTTCCACCTTTTTGGTGGTTAACTGGAGATAAAAGTCTTTCAGAAGGGCTGGGAAGGTGGCTCAGTGGTAGAGCGCTTGCCTTGCAAGCATGAGGCCCTGGGTTCGATTCCTCAGCACCACATAAGCAAAAAAAGCTGGAAGAGGTGCTGTGGCTCAAGTGGTAGAGCACTAGCCTTGAGCTGAAGACCTGAGGGACAGTGCCCAGGCCCAGAGTTCAGGTACCATGACTAGCAAAAAAAAAAAAAAAATCAAAACTTGGGCTGGGAAGGTGGCTCAGTGGTAAAGTGCTTGCCTTGCATGCATGAGGCCCTGGGTTCAATTCCTCAGCACCACATAAGCAGAAAAAGCCAGAAGTGGCGCTGTGGCTCAAGTGGTAGAGCGCTAGCCTTGAGCTGAAGAGCTGAGGGACAGCGCCCAGGCCCAGAGTTCAGGCCCCACGACCGGATCCAAAAAAAAAAAAAAAGTCTTTCAGAAAAAGCAGGGCGCCAGTGACTCACACCTATAATCCTAGCTACTCAGGAGGCTGAGATCTGAGAATCTCGGT